GGGCCTCACGCCCTAGCTAGCTCCTGAAGTTCCTCGTGCATTGACAATGCCCCACTAGGTCAACTAAGGTAACCTGACTATACCCTAGTATGTCTGGATATACTAAAGTGAGGTCAACCCCCTTATTATTTTCTATCTCACGCATTCTTTCATCTATAATGTTATGCTGAGGTTTATTATTTTGTTATTATTGTTAGTTATTAAACATCTCTATTCTAGTCGTTCGATACTAAGGGATTTCTTAGTCGTTTTCTGCATCTAGTGAAGTCCCTATACATTTCAGGATTTTATGACGATTCCTGAGTTTACTGATCACTGGTCGTACTGTTCGCTAAATCGATTCCTTACTTGAGTTCAACTCTCAGTAGAGACACTCTAATTGCTCTTAACGACTCCAGTTTAAAACCATTGAACTGAAAGGGGCAGCTTAACCCTCCTAGTTTCACTGATGTTCTCGAAACTCACTCTTTCTTTCATTATTGACTCTGACTTATTCCTTAAACTGCTTCTTGGTATATCCTCTGTAACGATCCTCATCCTCGATAATTCGTATATGTCTTTTAATGAAGATATTTCAACGTAATACGCTTAATATGGTTACACTCATTGTAACCCACTCCTATGAGTGAATCTAGACATGTTAGATCATTTATATCGCCCACGAACTAAGTATTGATATTAGGGATCATCCCTAACTCTTACGGGCCTTAAATAGGTCAAAACTGGCCATCCAAAATGAGTAGTATCGATACTCTACTTGCAATATCGATACCCTAGGGTCAAGTATCAACACCCCTATGAGTATCAGTACCAAAAATGCATTATGTTTCTAAAATTGAGGTCCAATATCGATATTGTCACTCTGAGAATCGATACTGGAGGGGCAATATTGATACTGTCACCCTGAGTATCGATACTGGAGTATCGATACTGGAGGGGCAATATCGATACTCCCCTGGCAGTATCGATACTTCTAGCCTAAAATCCCTGATTTTGCTTCAATTGATCTAGTATCGATATTGTTCATCCCAATATCGATACTTTAGCCCAAAAATGGTTATTTTAGGCTCGGGAAACACCCAAAATCCATCATAAATGACTTAGTTTGGGTTCTAATCTTATTTTTAAGCTTTCGTAAGTTGTTTAAGGTCTTAAGGTCTCTTAATAAACACTCTTTACACTTAAAACTTGATTTGATCATAAAATCAAGTATAAACCCTAAAATACTTAAATAAACAATCTTAAGAAATTCTTTGAATTTATGAAAACTTAATACTCCAAAGGATTATAAATACACTACCTTGATATTTAAGTCCCGAAATGAACCTCATTTAGCTACCAAGCACTCTCATTTTGATTTTTCACCCTTTTCCCCTAACCAGCAAAGATGAAAGGATTTTCTTAATATAAGAATGTTATGGAGAGTAAGAGGGACATATTTACAACTTATTAAAGATGAGAATATGAGTTTTTACCACCAATTGATGCTGTAAAGACTAGGTGAAGAAGATAATAAGAGAAAGGAAGAAAAATAAAGAGAAAATAAGAAGCTCACGTCTAAGATGAAACAAATCCCCAAATTTTATCTTCAATTTCCCTCAATAGTATAATTACACTTTTAGTTTTTAGCCTTTAGACTCATATCCAAAAATCCCCCTTTTATGGCTAATTAGGCCCAAATCCAAACCTAATTAAGCCTAACGACTTAAATTAAATTTACCAAAGGGTCCACTTATCTCTCAGATAAACCCAAAACTACATGCCTGAAACTTGGGGTGTTACAACGACACTCAATAAAATTATTTAATATAGGCAGATACTGAGTATGCACCAAATTACTCGATTTATCTGGTAATAATATCCCCCCAATCAGTTGGAGAAGATACGTTTATGATGCAAAAATAACCTCCTCCTTAGTAAAGTCATTCGTCACTTGAAATTCAGACTTCGACTACTTGATCCGTATCCGATACCTGTCTAAGACCTTGGGTGGTGGAAACCTTCCAAAAACTTCATGAACAATACCAATATAGTTCTAATCGTTTCGCCTTACGGCGGCAGCACCATTCACGGGAACATTCAGTTGGTAAACGACATCTTCGAAAGTAATCATTGTTTCACCATTTGGGAAAAGGAAAGTGTGCATCTCGTGCCTCCAACGTTTAATCAGAGTTGAAATCAACACCTAGTTTACCTTAAAACCATGCAAAAATGTGGTTGGATACAAACTGGATTATTGAAGATATATAATCATCCGTTGATGTGAATCTCTTGATGTAATTCCGCGTTGACGAATGCCCCGTTATTCTTCTGGAGGAAGTTGTAACGACGAAATATGAACATCATCAAGGCGTAACATTTCTTGCCGGGAAAACATTTTTGAGGAATTCTTCGTAAACTAAGATTTTTTTCTCAATTTTTTCGTAACAATTGGTAAAAATCCTAAACCCCAAACCCCTATTTATAACCCTAATCTCAACGTCTATAAATGATTACTTTTTCAAAAATCAAACCAAACTCATCACCTCGAGGTGACGAGTTCCATGGTGACTGTTGCCTACTGACCATTGTTATTGCCCGTTGCCTAACGACTATAAACGGCTAGTTATTTTTTTAATTCAGAAGGAACTCGTCACCTCGAGGTGATGAATTCCATTGCTTTTTTTTCAAGGGACGAGTCCCATTAAATTAATTAAAATAATGACTCACATGGGACCTACTCAGTGGGGACTAATAAAAATATATCCAATGGAACTCGTCACCTTGAGGTGACGAGTTCCCCCTGTACTATAGCATTTATCGTACTTCACAAAATAAAAACCAATGTGCCCTATTGGGCCAAATAATTTCTAGGTTCCCCTATCGTGCCAAACCCCCCCCCCCCAATAAAGTTGCTATGAAGGAAAACACCCACCAACCTATCATCAATTGGAAAAAAATCTTTTAAAAATTGGGCTCAATCATATCTCTAATCACATTAGATCGATTTTAATAAGAAAAGATTTTATGTAAAGAAGTGGAAATATAAAATATTATAAGGTAAAATATACAAACGATCTTCTGATTATAAGGTGTTTCTTTGTTGAATCACTCAATTATTAAAAGTTATAAACCAGTCCCTTAATTATACAATATTATTTTGTTGGTCCTCCAACTATTAAAAATTATAAAATGGTCACTTGACGGCATAATGCTAACATATTTTACGTTAACATATCGATTGATATGTGATAAAATCATATTTTAATTATATCTACTGACATCGTCATTGCTTTCAAACACTAGCTTGACGGCATAATGTTTTAAGCATTGGCTCGACGTCATAGTGTAAACGAAGATTCAGTCCATGAAATACAACTCAAATGGTTATGTGATAAGATTTTATCTATTTCAGTCAACAACTTGATGTCTAACTCAAACAATCACTAATTTTTTAATATAAAAAGATGATTTTGAAACGTATGAATATTTGAGTGATTATTTTTTAATTTTTAATAATTGAAGATTAAACAAAACAACTCCAAATAATTGAGAAACTATTTTATAATTTTTAGTAATAAAAAAATCAACAAAATCAATACCCATAATCGAGGATCAATATACTCTACCCAAAATTATATATGAGATTTAGCTCGACAGCATGACCGTCTCACGATGTCTTCTCCGCCTCAAATTTTGTGCGTCAATATATACTGATAAAATAACAATATTAAACTATCATATCATTATTATTTAAAACTAAACTCATAAAATATTAAACTTAAGCATATCATAAAGCATGGGGAAGATACAACATCGACTTCGTATCTTATCTCCAGAATCTAAATCTGTCCTGATATCATTCAATGTACTTGTTTTCTCAACAATTTTTTATATTCACGATTTCCAAGGCATAGATTACGATTAACGTGTAATGATATGCTGTAATTCTATAAATTGGTGTGACCTGTAGTGTTTAATTCATCTTTTTTTTGTTCCTCCATGGCTGTTTTTCTAGGGCAGTTCTGATTAGGGTTGAATAACGAAATCGAGAAAATCGAAAAACTGATACGAATTGAGTAAAATAGTTCGGTTCGGTTTGGTTTGATTTTAAACGGTTCGGTTTTCGATTAGATTTAAAGGTTTCTTTTTTTTGATTTGGTTCGATTCGGGTTTTCCATATGGAACCCATTTGTTCCATATTGAACTGAATAGGCAATTTTTGTAAAAAAAATTATAGTTTCAAGTGATTTTTTTATTGAAAAACCGATAAACCGAACCGAACCGAAAAATCTGAACCGTTAAAAAAACCGAACCAAACCGAAAAAACTGATTTCGGTTTTTTCGGTTTTTTAACTATTCGGTTTCGGTTTTGGTTTAAATATTGAAAATTCGTTTATTTCGGTTCGGTTCAATTTTTGGTAAAAAACCGAACCGAACAGAACCGAATACACCCCTAGTTCTGACTGGTGTCTTAGTATATGATTAAAATAAGGTATTATCGATTTTATTATTATTTTAAATAATAATATTAGTAAAAAATGATCGAAAATATCATTATTTTTTATCGGTTTTAATTATCTATATAAGTAAACACGATAGAAAAAATTAGATCAAAAAATAATATTTTTAATAAAATACTACCTAAAATATTATTTTTTGATTAGATATTTTTTATCGCATTTATCTATATAGGTAATTAGAACATGTCAAAATAATGATATTTTCAATCATCTTTTATCGATTTTATTATTTAAAATAATAACAAAACTGATAGCGTTTTATTTTAGTAGTATAATAAGACGCCTCACGTCAACGTTTCCCGTTTTTCTACCCTACCACAGTTTAACAACATCTCCAGCACCCACAATGAGCGAAAATATTCAAATCTGGTCGAAGAAACCGGTGAAAGATATGAAGAAACACTAGCCAAGTTTCCTATAGGCAAAGGCTGGACGACCGAACATCTGGTTCATTACCAAGGCTTTTGGCTAACCCCTAGAACAGCCTTGAAAGGTTTAATGTGGATCCAAGACCACTTCAAGCCGCGACCCTCCGATATTTTCTTAGCCACGTCCCCGAAAATCGGCACCACTTGGCTCAAGGCACTTATTTTCACCACCGTCAACCGCACTCGCTACCGTATCTCCGACCACCCTCTGCTCACCACTGGCCCTCACAATTGCTTCCCTTTCTTGGATACTTACGTAGAGGGAAACAATCGGTCTTTACACGAACTTGATGTGTTGCCTTCACCACGTATCCTCTCAACCCATCTCCCTTTCGGTTTGTTACCGAATCCCATGACAGATGATCGAAGTTGCAGGTTTGTTTACACCACCCAAAGATGTGCTTGTTTCCAAATGGCTATTCATGAACAAGCTAAGGCCTAAACAATTGCCACCCTTGTCGCTTGAGGAAGCGTTTGTGTTGTTTTGTCAAGGGGTATCCCATTACGGACCCTTGTCGCAGAGAAAAGAGAAAGCGTAGACATTTTCATAACCGGATCGGTCAGAGAATCAGACCGGTCAACGAATCGATCGTGTTACTGGTTCAACCGGACGACGTTATAATTATTTAAAAAAATGAAATAAAAATATCAAAAATATTTAATAAAAAATAAAAAAATATTTTGAACTGGTTCACAGTCCGATCTTGTTCGAACAGTTCAAAGTCGATTCAAACAGTTCCTTATGGTTCAATAAAACCAGTTCAAACGGGATAAAATAAATCAGACCAGATAGTTATTTCCGATTGAATCAACTGATCTGATCCGATTTTCAAAACACTGAGCATAGGTGTCAAACTGCACGAGGAACGAGATGCTCCTTCATGTCATACAAATTTCAAGCTCTTGCGACCTTATCATAAACTTCAAGATTTCTTTCGATAGAAAAACAAAAAAGTTGGAAGTTCAAATTGTCAATCACGACAAATTTAAGGAGAAAATACCTATTGAAAATTAATTATTATAACAGTATCTGAATTTTTAAAAAAATATATCCTTTTTTTATCATTTCATATAAATATATTAATATACACATGATAAAATTATCTTTTTCATTCAACTTTTAAAATTTTTAAAATAAACATTGAACTTTAAATTTTGTTAAAAATATATGCATCGATCATTAGTTATTATTAAGGGATGATGTAATATTTTAAATTAATAAACAAATCTTCTTTTTTCCCTCAATTATGACTAAATGTTTTCGATATTTTTTAATATTTCCAAGTAAAAATTTTAAAAATATTAAAAAAACTCAATTTTTTTTAAAAATATATTGGATTTAATAATTTATTTTTGAAATTAAAAATATTTTTTAAAATAATATTTTAACTTATTAAACAAAAGTTAAATAACTGAGAGCTGAAAACTCTTGAGGAGGCTGAATTACTTTTCTACAAGCAAAAGGAGAAGGTCAATTGGATTAAAGAGGGTGATCAAGGGACTCATTTCTTTCATTCTATGGTGACCACCAAGAGGAAGAGCAACACCATCAAGGCCCTCTATGACCATCATGTCTAATAAGGTGATCAACTTCTTTAAAAATCAGTTGGGAATGATTGATCCAAATGTTAAGGGCTGTAATGTCAGTACCATTAGAGATTTTCTTGACTATTCTTTACCTATGGGGACTGCTGACACTTTGTGCAGAGAAGTTTCTGATATGAAAATTAAGGAAGGTATTTGGGGGCAAGGGAATGATAAATCCCTTGGTCCAAATGGCTATAATCCTTATTTTTTCAAGAGAGCATGTCCAATTATTGGTGAAGATTTCAAGACTGCCATCAATTACTGTTTTGATGAATCCTTTATTCTCCCATCATTTAATGTAACAGCTGTAGTCCTTGTGCCTAAAGTGCCTAATCTGAACACAGTTAAAGATTTCATACATATCTCATGATGCTCAATGATCTATAAGATAGTGGCCAAAATTCTAGTTAATCGATTGTCTACTGTTTTTCCTAGTATGATCTCAAACAATTAGAGTGCATTTGTTAAGGGGAGGAGCATAGTAGATAACACTCTTCTTGCTCAAGAGATAGTTAGGGATTATGGCAGGAAAAATAATTTCCCAAGGTGTGCTATGAAAATTGACTTACAAAAAGCATTTGATTCACTAATTTGGGAGTTTGTTAGTGTCATTCTTTATGCTCTGGGTTTGCCTGAGAAATTTATTGGTTGGATTTGGGCTTGTTTCACAACCCCTAACTATTCTATTATGTTTAATGGGAGTCTTGTTGGCTACTTCAAGGGTACTAGAGGAGTTAGACAGGGTGACCCTATTTCACCCTACCTCTTTGTCCTTGCAATGAATATACTGTTTGGGTTGTTGAATGTAGCTACTTTGAAGAGAAGTTTCAAGTTCCACCCTAAATGTAGAAATATCAGCCTAACTCACCTCTGTTTCGATGTTGACCTCATCATATTATGCAAAGGTACTATAGACTCTATCATTGGTGTACAATTGTCTTAGATGTCTTCTATTCGATATCGGGGTTAAACCTTAATGCTACCAAATGTGAGGTCTATACTGCTAGGATAACTGCTGAACAATGTAATATAATTCAAGAGATTACTAGCTTTAAGCTCGGGGTGCTTCCTGTGAGATGTCTTGGAGTTCCTCTGGTGACAAGAAAGCTTGCAGTGAAGGACTGCCAATGCCTGATTGATAAGATTAGTGCTAAATTGAATTCGTGGGTTAATAGGTATTTGAGCTTTGTTGGTAGGCTGCAGCTTATCTGATCTGTTCTATTTAGTATAACCAACTATTGGTACAGACAAATGATCCTTCCTTAATCAATAATCAGGAAAATTGAGCAATTATGCTCTCGGTTCTTCTAGAAAGGGGCTGACTTGTCTACTAATGGTGCTCGAGTTAGCGGAGACAAATATGTTTGTTGAAATCTGAAGGGAGTTTGGGTGTAATTGACATAGGGGGCTAGAATAAGGCATGTATTGGGCTTTTGATCAAAAAGTTATTGGCTAATGAAGGCTCCCTATGGGTGGCATGGATAAACTCTTATATGATTAAAAATTCATAATTTTGGAAGATGAGTAACCCTTTAAATACCAGTTGGAGCTTCAAAAGCATACTGAAAATAAGGCCTATTGTGTCTCAGTTATTTGCTGGCCCAGTTAATGACCTTAGCACAAGGCAAATTTGGGAGGATCTGTGCATCCAGGGTCCTAAGGTCTCTTGGCATAAGTTGGTTTGGTTTCCAGGGTTTATCCCTAAGCAAAGTATTATTTTTGTGGATGGCCATCTTGGATAGGCTCCCTACTCGGGTTAGACTTCTGTGAATGGGACTGAATATTGATAAAGACAAATGTACATTTTGTGGCACCGAGTCTGAGTGTAGAGACCACTTATTCTTTGGGTGTGGTTTTATGAAAGAACTATGGGGAACTATGCTTACCTTATGTGGAAGTCTTTCATTGTGCAAGTGATGAAGCTTGCTTTAGCTGGCCATGTGTATGACATCTGGAAGGAGATAAATAGTAGGTTGTTTTGGGGGTAGAGCTAGGTTGGTGGATGATGTGTTGAATGACATTCGTGAAACCATCCAGATTCGACTAAGTGACTAGTCCATTAGCATGGCTGATCCGAAGAATGTTGCCCTCTATGCAAACTGGGGTATTTCTTGAGCTAAAGAGTTGTTCTTTTGTTTTTTGTTGTTCCGTTGGTTCCAATTATGTTAATTTGCTGTTTATGTAGCATACGGTTTCTTTGTAGCAGGGTTTCCTTCTTTCTTGGGTAATGAAATAGAATTATCCAAAAAAAAGTTAAATAATTGAATCACATTGTTTAACAAAAAAACTGACTTTGCTTCCTGATAATTGAAATGGTTGGATCTCAAAATTTATAAATTATAAATTTTACAAATTTAATCATAACTAAATAAAAAATTAATTTGGAAAAAATAATTGATGAATTAAAAAATTCATAAAGCTATACTTTAAAAATAAAGGTGATTTTTTATATTTTAAAACATATATATTTTTTAAAATTATTAGTTAGAATTATTTAAAAATTATAAAAAATGAAATTTTATTTACAATTGAGGGGCAAATGAGTTTATTTTATCAATTTAATATATCACTTTACCCCTTTAATGGTAGTTAAATTTGTCATATCCAATTTATAAGAAAATTTAAAGTTTAATATCCATTATATAAATTTGGAAAGTTTAATATCGTAAATGATTATTTTAATATAATTTAGTGACTATAAAAGTTTTATTCTATAAAATTAGTGGATTAATCACGGAATAATTCTTTGAGTTTTCTAATATTTACTTAATAAAGATGATTTAGTTAATGATATACTTCAGTGTGTCACATTAATAGTATGTTTTGATGTGCGACTACAAACTCATACGTTTAGATGTTGGTTAGACACATTTTTATCTTATGTAATAAAATGTGTTAATTTTTTTAGTATGATTGGCTGAAAGAGAAATTCATGAATTATAGAAAATTATAGAATGCATGTCATTCATTGTAATTCACCACTAATTTCATATGGAACAATTTACAAATGGTTATTAAACTGTGTCAAAATTATCCTTTTGAACATTTAACTTTTAAAAGTTATATAATGAATATTAAATTTTAATTTTGTTACAAAATGGACACAAAAACATTAAGAAATATCTCATTTGACCCTTCAATTATAAATAAAATTTAATTTTACTCTTAATTTTAATTGAAATGATTCTTAATAGGTTTATTGAATTGAAAATAAAATAGATATAGATAAAATAAATATAATATTTTAATTTTATATTATAAATATTAAATTTGTACAATATAAATTACAAATTATCTGATATGATATTATAAAATTATGGATGTATGATTTTTAAATTATATTTAAATTTTTTAAATAAAAGTTAAATGCTTAAATCACATATTAATAAAAAAATAATTTTATTGTTTGATAATATAAATTTTCAGACGTCGAAAACTATAAAATTTTTTATTTAAAAAATAAAACAACAATTAAATAAATAATTAGTTATAAAACAATTTTTGATTAATAAAAAATTAATTTCACTATTTGTGAACTGAATTTTTTTAATTTTAAAAATAATTTATTTTCATATATTTTTTAAAAAATTCTAAAAATTATATTTTTTAGATTTAATACTTAAAAATGTTTAAAAATATTAAAATGAAATTTTAGTTATAATTGAGGGGTAAAATAGGATATTTTTCATTAATTTAGTATGCTATTCACCCCTTAATAACATTTAACGATTGTTATTGTTTTAACAAAGTTCAATGTTTAATGTCTATTTTGTAACTTTTAAAAATTCAATGATAAATAAATTAATTTAAAAAGTTTTAACTATTTATTAATTTTACCCAATTTTATATTGGTGGTGCACTTCAGTGTATGTCATTAGTGGTGAATTTCAATGAATGTCACTCATTGTAGGATCATTCACGAATTATAATTTACATCTCCTATTGAAGCCTATATTTAATTAAATTTTTATTATTTTAATTAAAAACTATTAATTAATTGTTATTTTTATTTTTTCGTTCGAATAAACTCTTTCATTTTATAATATTAATTCATTTAAATAATTGTACTTATATAATTGATATTTTAAACAATTAATGCTTTAATAATCCATGTTTAAATAGTTGATAAATTAATTTATCTTAATAAGTATAATTTTGGTTTGATAATTGATTGAAATATTATGTTATTTAGATAGGAATGGGATTTCTATATTAGAATTATTAATATTGATATTTATAATAAAATATTAAAAATAAATCATTACGTTAGATTTCTTTGTATTAGACATTCTTCAATAGGATCATCATTGATGTCATTATTGTCATTGTTAGTTTGCCGACTTCACCCTACATTGACAGGACATATTGATTCATTGTAACGCCTCGAATCCCAAGTTAGTGGCTTTGGGTTAACTTGAGATTCTCAAAATGAGCCCAATAAACCCATAGAATAGCTTGGACCAAGTAAGTTTGGATGTAGGCTTGTGATAGGCCCAAAAGGATGGGAATTGGGACCATTTTAATATCGAAGAGGAAGGGAAGGACTATAGGAGATAATTTACCCTAATTTAAATCAAGTTGATAATTTAATGGGAGATGATATATGTTGCTTTACCCACTCCCCTCCGCTTTCATCATTCTTTGTACTCTCCTTTATTCTTCTCTATTTCTATTATTTTCTTTCCCAAGCAAGAAAAAGGTATAAAATTGACAACCCTCTAATCTCTTTGAAAACAATTTTAAGGTAAGAATCATAATCTCCTCACCCTAAGCTTTCAATTAAGCTCTCAATCTTTAAGTTTGGTCACCATAGCTATAAGTGGGGTTTAGTGGGGGTTTAAGAATCTAGGGATTTCTAGCTCGTTTTTAGGATAAGATGAAATTAGGAAAGTGTTCTTAGACTTATTTTAGTTTTATAAACAAGTTAGAAACTCTATTTCCATGTTATTTTAGTCAGAGATTTGGGAGAAGGTTCAAACACCAAAGAAAAGGAAAAGTTAACCCTTGGGTGATTGGAACGTTGTTTAGCAACCTAGACTCTGAGGTTAACACTTTTCTAACCTTCTTATACCATTTGTAGGCTTCCTAATGTATTTTTTTTAGCTTGTATTATATTTGAAGCATATGAGAATGCTCATGACAAATTTTAGAATTATGTGTTTCCAAGCTTACAAATTGACTCTCAATGATCCTATCAAACTCTCATAAGCTTTTTATAATGTTTGGGAACCTCAGTAGGGCTGTGGGGGTGATTAGAGAGTGATTTTTTAGCCCAAACTGAGTATTTCGGGGTGCGTGTATCGGTACTGGGAGAATAATATCAATATTGTTCTTACGTAGGGCAAAAATAAAGGATTTTAGAGCAACAATATCGGTACTCAATCATTGAGTATCGATACAGAGGGCCATGTCTCATTACTAGAAGAATGAGTTTCAAGATCGATTTTTTAGCGTCCAATTTTGGTATCGATACTCGCGGAGAGTATCGATACTGGGGGTAGAGTATCGATACTCCCAGTAGGAGTATCGATATTGATATATTTTAGCAAAACATTGAAACCCAAATTATTATCGATACCCTGGTTGGTATCGTTACTCTAACTTGGTAGTATCAATATTATTCCTTCATCATAGCCTTAAATTACATGTAGGGTACCGATACCAGAGGAAGTGTATCGATACCCATAGGTCAGTATCGATACCAAGGGTATGTATAGATTAGCATACTTTTATGCTATATTTGCTAGCATGTGCATATAGAGGATTTATATCGTATAGTTTGGTTATTAGAGTGCGTTGAGCTTGTGAGCTCAACGTTCGGAATTTGTTTCCATGCGCAGGTTTGTAGGAGGAGCATTTTGAGGAGCCATCACATAGACTGCCTTCCAAACCGATGCCATCCTTTGAGTACGTCTCGAGTTTATTATTAGTGGGCATTTAATATATATGAACCCTTCTATATTCTAGTCGTAATTGTATATAGGATTTTTGCAAACTTTATTTGAATTTATTTTTAGGAGCTCCCATATTTTGAGTAACAAATATTATGTATTTATTTTACTATTAACGCTATGGATAAATTTTAAGTGAATGTTTACGTCGTTTAAAAAAGAAAATTTTGGGTTAGCCACTCTAATGGTTCCGTGTGATATCTTGGTCCGTCAATCTTCGGGTCGTACTGGATTAGGATGTTACATTCATTAACACGTCTG